CACAATAGCGTACCACTGCTGTGTTGTAGAAATACTCAGGTAGATCCGCACCGTGACCCTACTGCTGTTAGTGTTGTGTGTGATTTGCTCTGGAAAAAAGAGATTGTACTTGCGGATTCAGGTGGGTCCGCTCCACCGTTAACCCTACTAACTACCACGAGGTCCAGCCAAAATCGTTGGAAAGGAATATACCTTTTTGGTCAGACTCGGTCGGTGAAGATTAGAAGTGTGGCCTTTTGAAATATATTTTTGTTAGGAGCAGGACAAAGCAGAAACTCTGAGGTCCGCAGCTGGTGGTCGGTCATGGTTGAATGAGTTGATGTTGTCCATCAAAGTCTTGACCAACCAGCTGGGCGATTCTTTAGAGGTTGCAGTCCCTTCGTAGATTCGACCCGGTTGCAGGAGATTGAGGCGTTATTCACGGTGCCGTAACTCGGTTCGCCCTTGAAGACTCGAGCTCGCGACAGGGGCGTTGTGATCCTGAGATTAGCAGCGTCGGGTATGCGAAGACGGCCAAAACTGATTTACCGTCTTGTTTTTAAAGCGCAATAAATGGTTGAACTCTTGCGTCTCAGGCTTCCGACATCATACAAGTACTCCGGCCGCGGGGGGCCTATGGCCCCCCCCGTGGCCTCAGACGGAAGTGTTCGGGCCCGCTGCCTTAGACAGAATAACTGTCGGGCGTATGCCGCATGCCAAGATATGATGGCGAGACCGATGCGGCGGCGGCGGCGTTGGCAGACATGATGCTATTATGGTAAAGGCGTTGGGACGGCGGCCCGAACCTTGATCGTGAATTTGAAACTCCAATGAATACTAAACGAAGCTCACATCAGAAGACAGAGTGCTAAACTCACACGTGCGGCGACACGTACACGAGATGGCGTAAGGTTTTACAATTGAACAATCACAGGCTTAAGACAAGCAACTGGGTTTTTATCTTGCCACGCAAGGGTGCCCGCAGAAAAGTGAAAACAACACGTACGTCCTAGAGTGGTCGAAATGAAAAAAAAAAATCAGTGGTTCCGTAATTGCGAGAAAAGTTCAAAAAAGAAAGTTTTTTGGTTTTACTTTTCACTTGATTTTTATACACCCCCCCCCCCCCCCCCCCCGGGGTTTGCCCTCGGGATTGGGTTTTCCTCCCTTGGGAACCACCTTTTAAAAAAAACCAATTCCCTTTGTGAACTCCGGAACCAGGGTACCGTTTTTTTTTTTTTTACCCCCGTTTTTTTTTTTGGGGGGAAACCAAAAGGGGGGCGAGTAAAATATGGTGGGGGGGGGGGAAAAACCCCCCCCCCCGCCACGGGGGAAGAACCCCCCCCGTTGTGTTAAAAAGGGCCAGCT